TCCTCATTACCGCCCCGTCCTCCGGGGTGTCACCGCTCTCAAGGGAGAGTGAGACTCCTCGCAACTTCATCTAGTTGTTCTCTCGGGGGTTGAGCTTTAGCTCTTGGGGCACCAACTCTCATCTTTCAGTTGACCGCTGTACAGGCTCCTGAGCGATGTTATAACTACCTGGTAATTGTTTATGGCGTCTGTCTGCCTTCAGCAACAATTTGTTCGTTATTCTGACACGAAAATTGTTCTTTCTAGTGTCCCCTTGTTCGTGTAGCATCTTTATACCATTGCTCTATCACCTTGAGAATTTTGTATGTGGTAATCATGTCTCCCTTGACCGTTCTGTCATCCAGTAATGCCTTTTAGATGTTTTCGTTTAGATGTTCGTGATAACCTATCAGCACTTCCCTATCAATGTCTACTGAGAGAGAGATCTACCTTATTATGCTTCGCGTTCTTGAGGTTGTGTTTGTCATGTGCCGCTGATGTTACCTGGTCACTGTGTGCTCCTCGGGAGGGTAGTTCAGCAGGACGGTGGCTAGTCTCCGGCTCCTATCCACATTGCCTTGCATTTACGGAGATTGAACTCTTGACACCATGCATGCATGTGTGTGTGTGTGTACATGTGTGTGTGTACTCACCCAATTGTACTCCCCAATTTGTGCTTGCAGGATGGAACATTAGCTCTTGGACCCCGTCTCCTTAGCCGTCGGCTGTTTGAAGCAATGACTTCTGTCATATTTCCCGATCATATCTAAATTTAAAATTAAGAATGGGGTTTGCTTCTATTCCTTTAGCTCAGTCCTACCTTCTACTCCCTACTCTTACGCTCAATGAAAACTTTCTCTATGACGTGTTTGTGTGTATTCACCTAGTTGTATTCACCTAGTTGTGCTTGCGAGAGTTGAGCTCTGCTCTTTCTGCTCGTGCGAGCGAGCACGTGCTGGCGTCTGGAGAAGGGTTCAACTTCAATAGCACTCTCATTACATCGATGAAATACACAGAACATAATAAAACCACAATAAATATATTACAAGTTTTAGGTTGATGAAGAAGCCCCAGGTGTCGGGGGCCCGTGGTGCCTCCCCCCCCCCTCCCACAGGCGGGTGTATGAATATGTTATGGGATTATGTCTGTTATATACAGACTAGTTAATGTAACCCCTGAAGGTACTGGCCTATACCTGCTGGTGGGGGTTGAGGCTTCGGCTCTTGGGTCCCGCCTCTCAACTGGTGTACGGGTTCCTGAGCCTCTTGGGCTGTATCATGTATACACTTGAAACTGTGTATGGAGTCTGTCTCCACCACATCACTGCCTAATGCATGCCATTTATTAACTACTCTGACACTGGAAAAAGTTCTTCCTGACCTGTTTTGACCTTTGTGGTATGACCCTGGAGTATGGTGATGGAGGGAGGGAGGGTGATGGAGGAGGCTGTATGACCCTGGAGTATGGTGATGGAGGGAGGGAGGGTGATGGAGGAGGCTGTATGACCCTGGAGTATGGTGATGGAGGGAGGGTGATGGAGGAGGCTGTATGACCCTGGAGTATGGTGATGGAGGGAGGGTGATGGAGGAGGCTGTATGACCCTGGAGTATGGTGATGGAGGGAGGGAGGGTGATGGAGGAGGCTGTATGACCCTGGAGTATGGTGATGGAGGGAGGGAGGGTGATGGAGAAGGCTGTATGACCCTGGCAATAAGACCGTCCCTGAGGGCCATGGTCGTGGTATTTATAGAGCATCATGGCCCCCAGAGAGGAGGACGTCGGTGATGCCTCCTTCCTCTCACCTCCCTAGAAGTGATGCCTCGCCTGCTGGGGGGATGGGGGGGGGGGTGCCGAGACCAGTAGGTGGCGGGTGAGCCTGCTATATAAATGTAAGTATACAAATATAGTATAGGCTCATATATTGTATATTTTATATAAAGTATTTGGCTGACGTGCAGCTAAGAGCATGATGCTAAAGGAAACTGGAGCCGTACCATTGGTCTACGAAAACTGCCACCAGCACCACCATCACCACCACTACCACCACCACCACCACCACCACCACCACCACCAGCTTGACTTTCACCTCTCCCGTACTGGGTGGTGGCCTGGCCAGCAGGTGGTGTGGGCGGGGCTGGCCACCTTTCCCCGGGGGCGCCTCCCCCCACCACCACCACCTGCACACGTGTGAGTGTGACACCACCACCACCTGCACACACGTGTGTTTCACACCACCACCACCTGTGTTGCCTGGACCCCTCCTCGCCTGACACCTACACTACACCAGTTTCCCCAACTCGTCAACACTTCAGAGTAGTCGTAAGAAATCGGCTGTTGACCCCAGGTGAACACAGCTGTTCACCCCAGGTGCTCCTATAGTTGGAGAATTTCCCCCAGGTGGACACAGGTGCTCCCACAGGTGAACGATGCCATATAAAATATATATATATATATATATAATTATAGTAGTAGTAGGCATCCTTCAGTCTCGGGAGACTATGGAGTTGCGCCCTAGTTGTCAATCCTGGTGCAGCGTCTGGTGTGACTGATGAGGCCAATCCGAGAGTGGCAGTCCTTCCCACACCGAGCACAAACGAAGTCCGATTCTGGTCTGTCTTCCTGGTTACCGGCTTTCCTTCTCTGTCTCTTTGCCTCCGATTCCTTGGCAAGTGACTCCTCGAACTTGGAGAGACCTCTTTGAACAGACTGCAGATTTACACTGCACTGAACAGATTTAATATATATAATTAATATATATATATATATATATATATATATATATATATATATATATATATATATATATATATATATATATATATATATATATATATATATATATAGTCTTGCAAATATTGCAGTAAGACTGGCTTTAGCTACGCCAGTTCTAGATATAAATACAGTTCAAAATGTTGTTATGAAAGTTTGTTACACATTAGAACTTGTTTATTCCTAATGTGTCGATATAGTTGTGAAAGTTCCTAATCTCCTCCTCACAGCTTTTGTTTTTTTGCTAATGCTGGAATTTTTTTCTTTTTGCACGTTAGTGGTCATTGGGAAGTTGTGTTTGCTCGTCTTCTTCTCCTTTATGTGTTATGTTCTCCATTTAGAAACTGGTAGATCGCGAGCTGTAGTTAGAGCACACACTAGACAATATCCCTGCGTCTGGAGACGTTGTGACGCCAATTGTTATTTTGTCCAGAATGCTTCCCTGGAGCCTCGGGGTCACAGCTCGGGGGCAGATGGTCTTGTGCTCCACCTGTCATACGCCTCTTGAGTTTATAGTCTCCCTGAAATTAACTATATACTTTTTAATGGTTGTTCAGTAAGTGCAAGAGTGCTTCTTATATGTTACTGAGGTCTGTGTCTCGCTCTAGTACATTGCTCCCATCTCTCTCTCTCTCTCTCTCTCTCTCTCTCTCTCTCTCTCAGGGGGAGTGGGGGGATGAAAGAGAGGGGGGGAGTAGGGAAGAGAGACCCTGGCACAGCCGGACGCCTCCTAATTATAATTGGATTATATATAATGTACTACCTACCAGCAGGAAGATTCCTCCGTGAGAGAGAGTGCAGATATTACAAGGTGGATGGGTAGGATCACGCTTTTGTTATCGTGTAGTATGCCACTAGCGTCAACCTCCACCACCACTACCACCCACCATCACTCACTACTACCACCACCATCAACCACCACCACCAACCACCACCATCAACCACCAAACAGCCCACTTCCCTCGGCTCATTTCCAGCAAATTACTGGATTTGTCGAATTACTAATCAGAGGCCATAAATTTACCCGGAGATTGAAATGAATTATGTGATTATACCAAGACTGTTTATCTTGTTGTGGCGCGGAGGTTGAGCTCCAGCTCCTGGAGAGTGAGAGAGAGTACAGAAGACAGTTGTACTTTCCTTCCTGTAGGTACTGTCTGCTCCTAGTTAGCAGCTCTTGTTGCTAAGATCTGACACCTGCTGCTCCTACCCTTGGGGAAGGCCCCTGTAGGGGTGGGGGGAAGGCGGAGACAAGTGATCACCTAGTTGTGCTTGCGGGGGTTGAGCTCTGGCTCTTTGGTCCCGCCTCTCAACTGTCAATCAACTCTCTTGGAGCCCAAATTATAATGAGGTATATAATGAGGAGCCCAAGGTATACCTCATGACGGTATAATGAGCCTATATGTGGCTGTGTCTACAAGTTCATGATGTACTACGTAGCGGTCGAAGCTCTTTAACCCGGCGCCAATTTTGTTATGGGGGGGGGGGCGCTGTCTGTGGAAGTTCTCAGCATTTACTGGCAATTATTTCGGGTGAATACAAAGCTGTAATGGCCGAGTGGTCCAGCTAAGATTTTTCTTTTTTCTTTCTTTATTAAGTGTTAACGATGTGCCCGTTATAATATCTTGGTCTGAGCACGCACACCGTCCGCGATTCACAATTGGACCTGCAGGGTTCGATTCCCGGCCGAGACAGAAAACTAACTTGGAAGTTTCCTTTCACCTGATTCACCCATTCACCCAGCATTAAGTAGGTATCTGGGACTTGGCTCTTGTGGGCTACATCTTGATATATATAATAATTTGTGTCTGTGAAAGAAATATAAATATATGAACGAGAAAATAGGTGAAGAGTGAGTACACTAGACAACCGAGGGTTAGGAAGGCGGGGTGCTAGAGCTAACAGCTTGATGTCCTGCAGATACAAGTAGGTAAACACGAACGAGAAATCTCTTTAATGTAGTCTGCCTCGGGGCATCGTCACCTGAGATCAAGGTGTTGAATACTCATTACACAAAGATCTTTTAGGTGTACGCAATAGTACAGTATATATCTCTTTCTCTGTGTCTCTGTGTGTCTGTCTCTCTCTCTGTCTCTCTCTCTCTCTCTCTCGTTCCGTCCACAGCCGTCTGTGTCTCGCCATGGTCTGCCGTAATGTAAGCATGGTAGCTGACAGCTGACGGTGTGTAGGTGTACCTTGAGTAATATTTTGCCTTTAAATATTGAGTAATAATATGCCTTAACTAGACCTCAGACCTACACCGGCAGCATCCTCATAGCCGTGAACCCGTACAAAGAAGTGGAGATTTACGGTCCCGTGAGTATTATGTCTTCCTCAAGTTTCTCCTTTTGCGTGTTGATATTGACTAGGGGGCCAGATTCACGAAAGCAGTTACGCAAGCACTTACGAACGTGTACATCTTTCCTCAACCTTTGACGGCTTTGGTTACATTTATTAAACAGTTTACAAGCATGAAAACTTCCCATTCAACTGTTGTTATTGTTATAAACAGCCTCCTGGTGCTTCGGAGCTCATTAACTGTTTTAGTAATTGGAAACAAAGCCGCCAAAGATTGAGAAAAGATGTACAGGTTCGTAAGGGCTTTCGTGAATCTGGCCTTAGGTTGGCAATATATGGCATGTGTATGATTATATTTTACATATAATCTATACATATAAAAATACATTGGTAACATGCTACAGACTCTTAGGTACGGGATAATAATGTTATTTGTATAAGGTCGTTAATACGCTGACCGTTATTTCTTGGTCGGTAATATCGATCTATATATCGCTATATACCTCTATATCGCTAAGTTCAATAGAGCTACAACCCCGATTACCTTGCTAACGTATTTTTTGTTTAATTTTCCGGGGATTATACGGAAAATACAAGTAGGTAATTAGTAGTCAATCGTGTTCCATTCGGTTTAGCGAAGTACATTCTGTAGACTTTCTTCCACCATTTTCTCTCATTTATAACAGAAAATGATATTTTTTTCTAAATAACAGCGGTGGCTGAAGCATTTAATCTTAGCATCATCGCAATACCACTTTTTTATTTTAATAATACAGTTTGTCATTGTGATAAAGCATTGATGACCGTTTTAATTATAATTGGTATCTGATTTCCCTTTCACTTGAAGTAGTAGATGGTGCTACATAGCCTTTCCGGTTTGGTGCCTTCTATTGATAATTACTTACTTTCACTTGAAGTAATTTCCACTTCACAATAGACATTGATGAACACTTGTGAGCAGGAAGCCGTGTTGAGGTACCAAAGGAAGAAGCTGTTAGAGGAGGAGCCCCACGTGTTCGCCATCTGCGAGTCCTCCTTCGTCGCCCTCCAGCGCCTCGACAAGAACCAGTCATGTGTCATCTCGGGGGAGTCTGGTGCGGGCAAGACGGAAACTACCAAATTTATTCTTCAGTATCTGTGCTCCGTTACCTCTGGGGTGTCTACGTGGGTTGAGCAACAGATTATCGAAGCTAACACTATCCTTGAAGCATTTGGTAAGATGATTAGTCAAGCTGATGCACTTTTCATGTAAGATTAAATGAGAAGACTTGATTTTCCACATCATTTGTGCCTTTAACAAATATGGGTGCTAGTTATCAATTTGTTTCCATGTTAATACGGTCATGAAAATTCCAAATATTAAAAAAAGAACTAAAATTTATTGCAATTGACAATTATACCAAAATTAAAACAGGCTGATGATAATCCAATTTCTCAGGCAACGCAAAGACAGTTCGAAATGACAATTCTAGTCGGTTTGGGAAGTTCATGCAGGTGTGCTTTGACTCGTCATGGCACATAAAGGGTTGCGTGATGCAGGACTATCTCCTGGAGCAGTCTCGCATAACCTTCCAAGGACCTCAGGAACGGAACTATCATGTATTGTACCAGTTGGTTGCTGCCGCACAGGTGGGCACCTCGCCTCACCTTCTTTCCTATCCACTCTTGTTAAATATGAATGTATAACACTCAAGTTCTGTGTTTTTTAACTTTTTTTTCTGAAGATATTCTCCAATGCATTTTTTGTATTCATATTTTTATCCTTAAACTACAAATGGTGTTTGATATATAGCGTGTACCCGCTTCCAAATTGCTATGATTACCTTTTCCACTTCTTTTTTTTCATGCTTACCTTTCACCCAGTAGTTCATGTTCTACTGAATTCTTGAAAGTTTGTAATAGCATTCTGTATACTGTATGTACGTTCATTTGTAATGTAGCCTCCCATACTCTGATTTTTTTTGCAATTGTATTATCTGCCTCTAGACTATATTTTTGTTTTGACAAAATCTGATTACTTTTGTAGAACAACAAAGAACTTGCAGACCAGTTTCACCTCAAACCTGCCAAGTTCTATACGTACCTGAATCAATCTGGCAGCATCACGATTGATGGAGTGGATGATGTTCGCAAGTTTGACAATCTGCGTCTGGCCTTCAATGTCTTGCACGTCCCACCAGAAGTTTGTGATGGAATATTTGGAACCCTGGCGGCCATCCTCTGGCTTGGCAACTTGGAGGTACAATTTATTTATTTACTTTATTTACACAAGAGTTCTTACATTCTTGTACAGCCACTAGGGCACATAGCATTTTGGGCAAGTTCTTAATTCTAATATCCCCCTGAATACGACTCCACCAAATCGTTTAACAACCAAGTTTCCATTTTACTGTTGAGTAAAGAGAGGCTACGGGTAAGGATTGGCACCCAGTAAATTCTCTCCAGCCAGGATACGAACCCAGGCCAAAGCACTCGTGAAACATCAGGGAAGTGTCTTACCACTACGCCACGGGGACTACAACTCTGGTTAAAGTTTTGTTTAGTATTCCTTGTTTGGCAGAATGAGGGATATAGTATTATGATATTTTGTAAAAAATCATAACATTTAAATTGTTTTTTAATGTAGAATCTGTTTGGATATATGTAATAAAATGTACTGTACAGTATATATGAACAAGGGTTTGCCTGCATTAAATGCATAATAGGCCTTCTATACAGTACTCAAATACCAAACCTTGTGTTTTGAGGGTGATACAAATATAGTACAATATTGACATACATTTAACATAATGTGTACAATATAATTATTTTTTAATCTCAGTTTGCAGATATTGATGGTGAAAAGTGTGAGCTGACAAGCAACGACAAAGCGGTGCTAACGATATTATCTGAACTATTGGGGCTTACAGAAGAAGATCTTCTGGGTATTGTGCTTCAGAGGCAGATAAACATTAGGGGCAACATTACTCACATCCCATTGAAACATGCTGAAGCCAGAGAAAACCGACACGCTATGGCAAAAGCACTCTACTCTCGCACGTTTGCGTGGCTGGTGGACCACATCAACAAATGTACTAACCCTGGCCAGGACCAAACCAGGTGATCTTTTGTTTGTTTGTACACTCATGGGATGGCACTTCCTTGAAGAGGCCATAAAGTGTTGAACAATAAACTTGTTACATATCGGCGTAATAGCAGCCTATACCAGTTTGCACCTGGGCCACAAGTTAAAAATGTAAATGGCTACTCTTGTAATGAAGGGTTTTTAGATTTTAGGCAGTATTAATACAAAATATTTATATTCTGTGTATCCAACACAATTAAAGCTGTTAATTCATGCATTTAAAACCATACTAGCAAATGAGCTTAGCATTTTTAGCCAAGTAGAAATGTAACTGGAGCCTTGTACATTTTAAAATGTACAAGGAAGTATATTGTATAAATGCATAATGGTACATATAACTTTGAATTCCTTGAATAATATAAGCTATGATAATAAATAACATTTGATGACTTGTGGTTAATTTGTTTAATATATTTTAAATTACATAGAAACTAACGTAATTTATGGTTACTGCATAAAGCATGAATTATATTATTATTAAAGGAGATTCACCATAATTTCTTTAAGAATTGGTCAAGAACTGTATGGGAAATGTAATGTGTGTTACACTACAATAACTAGGAGGTATAAGAATTGAAAAAGATGGAAGTACTGTACTGTACATTACTGTACACTTGCATGTTTTTGGAAGATTTATATAGTTAATATAGTCAAACATGAAGTAGAAAAACTTTATTGAAGAATAGCCCCTTGCTGGTAAAAGGATTATAACACACATGAAATACATTCACAGTCTTAAAGAAAATACACATACTAAATAGTAGCAGTATTCTTAGTGCATTTAAAATAAAATAATATGCTAAAGTTTGTACTTAAGGTTTGGTTTTAAATATTTTAGGTGCTTATTGAAAGTACCAGTACTGTATGTATTTATAAACAAAATGTTGAAGTACTGTACTGTATATATACGTGGCAATTGACTTAACATGTTTGATTACAACTTTCCTCTGTAAATACAATAAAAATGCTAATTTATTTTTCCTTTACAGGTTTCTGGGTGTGCTGGACATCTTTGGCTTTGAGAATTTTGCTGTGAACTCATTTGAACAATTGTGTATTAATTTCACCAATGAAAAATTGCACAAATTTTTCAATCATTATGTATTTGCTCTGGAACAAGAAATAGTAAGGCTGCATTATAGTTTGCATGGTAGAACAGTTTTTGTGAATTGCTCTCGTAAAATATTGAGGCCCTCTGATAGAATCAAACCTACGTCTCGGCACATGCGCCTCTGGGCTCCCCCAGCACATGCTCCTCTGGGCTCCCCAGGCACATGCGCCATCAACTGGTATTGTCGAGTCAGAAGTGCGTGGTGTGTCTGGGAAGTCCAGAGATGTGGTGTTCAGTACTATCATTCTGTCTCAATGTTTTATCATATACTGTATCATTTTCTTGTGACTTCATTGTGAAAATTACTTTTTATTCTTTATTCTAAAATGTATAATGTTACATTTAAAAAAACTTTACTGTAGAGTGCCTGCCAAAGAAAGAAGAATATTTTGATCTTTAGAAATAAAAATTGTGCATAATGAATTTATGCTAACCATAGCAGTTACTGTAAGTAAATTTTTCATGGAGGTTCATATAACCATTCAAAAGTTCTTTCACCTAAACAAATATCCTTTCAGTATCGTCAAGAGGAAATCAAATTTTCACACATCACATTTACTGATAACACAGAGTGCCTTGAACTAATGGAGAAACCACCACGATGTCTCCTTAAACTTCTCTCTGAAGAATGCCGAATGCCCAAGGTTAGTAGTTAGTTACATCTGTCAATTTTGAATGTACATTATTTAATTAGAGATGTTTCAATGGTTATGGTGCCATTTGATGGGCTAAATTTTACATGTCTCTGGTTTTCTGAATGAAAATCTAAGTTTTCATTTTTGCCCATTTTACTATATGCTCTAGCACACTTCTTGAGTAAGCTACTCGTTAGAATAGTTGTTACGTGTTTGGAAAGATTTTTTATTTTATTTTTAGGGATCTGACAAGTCCTACCTGACAAAGGTGCATCAAGAATTTGAAAATCATCCGAACTATATCAAAGGTGACGACAGAAGAAAATGGGAGGTCGAGTTTGGTATCAACCACTATGCAGGTGAGTGCTTGTTCTAAGGCTTCTTTTTTCTCTGATATTCAGTTTATTCAGCAAGTGAACACTTCATAAGGTGAAGTTAATTTTCTTTTAACTTTAATTTGTAATTGTTTCTTTTCATGGGAATGTGCTGTACAGTACTGTGTTACCTAGGACTAGGGGACAATATTCCCGAGCATAAAAGTGTTCAAGGGTAACAAGTAACACTTGACAATTAATAACACTGTGCTCATTTAAGTGACATCATGCAACACTTGCCACTAGTTTGAAAATAACTGAAGAATTCCATGTAATTAGGCCTTAGGTCAGATGGAAAAATTGCTGATCATTGTAAATTAAGGAGACTATGTAGATGTCTGCTTATGTGTACTTGTCCTGTATTTACAAATAATATTACAAGCATGCATTTGTGCATACTTATGTGTATAAATTTGTGTGTGTGCATATTTGAGCAATAAAGAGGGAAAGGCACCTTATTATATGCAAATTTTAATCAAACTTTACATTTTCAGTTTTGAAATGTGTAAATTTTTTTTTATGGCAGGCAAAGTGATATATGCAGTTGAAGGTTTTGTTGATAAAAACAGAGACGCCCAGCAAGATGTCTTTTTCGATCTGATGAGTAAATCGGAGAACAAGTTTATATCGGATTTGACAAGATTTCAGGTATTGTAATTGAAAATGTATTGCATTATGTATTGTAAATGGTTGCTAAATGATACAGCATTTTAATTTAAAAGTGCACATACAAACACACATGCATTGATAAGTTGCTTATATTTGTTATTAATTGCAGGATTTACTTGGGTGCACCATAGCAAGGATGGGGACCATACATAGTACTATTTCCAGAGGAACCTCCAAAGGAAAGCCCACTGTTTCAGATGCTTTCCGCAACCAGCTTCAGGCTCTGGTTGATGTCTTGCAGTCCACCAATCCCTGGTATGTCATCCTGCAAGAAGAGGATAGAGTTGTTGTCACAGTAATGTGGGCAGTGCCCCTGAGAAAGAATAGGAGGAATGTTGCATGATGCAGTTGAAAGTATGTGTAGCAGTGTGCACATATCCATGTTTAGCACAAACTTGGTCTGTGGGGTTATTGTGCAAATGCTTTCTCTAAATGCATGAAGCAGTGATGTAGTAGAAGGCACATATGGTGTAGTCCAGATAACCACATGTTAAACTGATGCTTTCAGGTTATGCAATTGCATAATTTGCAAAGCTGGATATGGACTGAAAACATCGGTGTACAGTATATTACATTGTCCTGTTTTTCACCATTGCATTCAGCAGCTTTCCTGAATTGTGCATCAAAATTGCAATAGATTTTTTTAATTTTATAAGTTGTGCATTTAATTTCACAACTAGCACTTCTAAGCAAATTCTATTATTATTATTATTATTATTATTATTATTATTATTATTATTATTTTATTATTTATTATTATTTATTATTATTATTATTATTATTATTATTTTATTATTTATTATTATTTATTATTATTATTATTATTATTATTATTATTATTATATATGAGGTTACAGTGGCCCTTCAACCTGTACACCTGTTGGGGTACTGTACCCCACCTGTACAGTAACTGCTTGCTGGGGTTCTGGGAGTTCTTTTACTTCCCAAGCCCGGCCCGAGGCCAGGCTTGACTTGAGAGTTTGGTCCACCAGTACCCTAAGGTGGGGTACTGTACCATTGCCCCTGATTGAGGCCTGGGTTCCCTTCCCCCCCCCCCCCCCCCGGCCTTCCATACCACCCACCACATCCTTTTCTACCACTCCATCACTAAGAATGTTTGCATGACCTTGTGAGAGCAAACAGGTGAGTACAGGTCTTATGGGGAGGAGCTGTGTTTGGCTGAAATGTTTAGGAGAAATGCTATTTGTAGCAATAAATTTATAGTCATTTGTACTTAATGAGGATGGTGAAACGTCTAGTTATTAAAGTTCACTCTGTATTAGAAATTACTTGTATAATATCCAATTAGTTTTTATTTGAACAAGCTGGTGTAAATATATCTTCACTAGCCCATCATAAAAAGTCCATCTAGCACACAAATGAAACCTCTGGAATAATGGGAGGGCTTTTGTCAAGGGGGCTTCCTGCCCCCATTGAGGCCACAAGAGATGGTGGCCTACAGTTGAATCCAAGTAGGGAGATAACTGTTTTTGTCTAACTTGGGCTGTGATTGTCACTTCAGCACCCATAAATAGCTTGATTTATGGGTGCAGAACCATTCCATGAAAAGTAGGATTAATCTGCTCATTATAATGCTGGAACACTACACATGTACAGTATTCCAATAAATTTTCTTCTCTCCACCAGGTATGTTAGATGCATCAAGCCAAATAAGAACAAAGCGTCAGATTCATATGATGAATCTATGGTTCTGGATCAGCTGCGATATTTAGGAATGAATGATATTATTAGAATTCGCAAAGAAGGTTTCCCCATTCACATGACCTTTGAAGATTTCATCGGCAGATATTTCTGCCTCAGTAGGAGAAGAAGATATCCAGACTCAAAGCAACATGTTTGGTGGGTATTTAATGAGTTTGGTACAACACTAACTTTCCTAAGAACTCGTTGGGTTTAACAATTGTCCTGCCATAGAAAGGAATGGCTGTATTCAATATGTTGTTTACATCTGCTACCCACTTCCTTGGGAATGCTGCATTTTTTCCTGGCCAGTCTCTCCTCCTCCTCCTACCATCAAATTCACTGAAGTTCACTCCTCACTGGTCTACCATTGTCAACATATTTTCATCTTGTATAAATACAGAATTTATGGAAGTTTGTACCTTTTTCCCTTTACCCCTACAGTGAAATTTTGAAGAGTATGAACTTGCCTCCGAAGGAATGGCAGGTTGGAAAAACTAAAGTATTTATACGTCAGAAGGTATACGAGCCTCTAGAAGATCGTTGTCAGACCACACGTATTGCCGCTGCAATAAAAATACAAGCACTTGTCCGTATGCACAGACATAGGAAAGGTTAGTTTAAACGGTGCTCTTGGTTACTGTAGTCTCATTTTTCATTGTGGCAGTAGCATTTATTAAATGACTTTCATGAAAATGTTAAAAAATGCTGTACATTTTTAACTCTTCTAATACTATATAATAATATGCCTTTGCAGAATACAATAGAATACGAGTGGCATGCTTAGCCATTCAGTATCGTTATCGTGGTTGGAGACTTCGCCTTGCATTTATAAGAAAACGGCGAGCAGTTATTATTATCCAGTGTAATGTACGAGGAATGTTTGCACGTGAGGTAAATCAATCGCTCGTTTATTATTATTATTATTTTGAAATTTATGCAGTACGTACTCTATATCTTATGAATAATTCTTAGTTTTCAGCTAAACTGTTCATCATCATCATCACTGTAGTGCTTGTGATATATATTGTTTACAATTAACATAATTAAGACAGTGAATATTGAAAATCTATGTTTACTTTTTTTTAAAAGGTTGCCAATGCCCTGCGAGAAATGAAACGCATAGAGGAGGAACAGCGTAGGAGAGAGCGGCTGGAGGAGGAACGTCGTCAGCGAGAAGAGGAGGCTCTCAAGTTGGCTGAGGATGAGGAGAAAAAGAAAGAGCTAGAGGAAGCACAGAGGTGTGTATATGTTTGTAAGCCCTTGTTAGGGATGAATTTACAGTGTCGGTACATAAATGTTTTGTAAACAATTCATGTATTGCATAGCTTTTCAAGCATGATGCTTACTGCATTTGGAGCAGGATAACACGTGCAGATTTGTTTAAAAGATATTCATTGCTGGCAGAATCCACACCTTCAGTTGCTGAAAATAACAACGCTCAAACAATCTTCAGAATAATGCTGTAATATATGTTTGCTCTCATGTAACTAAAATTACAAGCTCCTTAAAATAGATAAGAATTCATGAAAGAAGAGGTCTTAATAATTTTGTTAACGGTAAAATAATGGGTATATTTCAACGGATAAACATGGGATATGCAAACATCTTAATTTGAGTTTATCGAAATATTTGTCAATGTATAAATTTACTTTAACTTTGTATTGGTCTGGTAAGTGTGCACTATGGAAAGACATTAAAATCTAGGGTGAGAGCAGAGGGACATGCACTTTTGTTGAACTTGTAAAGGTACTGAAGCTGAAAGTTAGCCTTTCTGGATGCAAAGTAATACACTGACATCTGTGAATTGCAGTAAAAACTATTTGGCAGCAGTCGGTATTGAAACACTTGCAATAAATAATATACAGTATCATCATTTGAAGTGCCACAGAAAAAAACAAATCAACTGCAATGCAAGCGAGAGGATGCAGGAATGAATTTTGGACAGGGTAACAAAATTGGGCACTGCTCTTTCACTGTTCGTCTCTGTACATCCAGCAATAATTGTGGACCTGGTTGTAAAAAGATTGGTGGATTGTATTCTTGGGATCAGATATGATCACAATAAATAAATATATATTTAGCCTGGATGATGGAATCGAACCATCACTATGATTCGATTATAGTGATGGTTCTATAGTGTTAATGTTTGTGGTGATGAGGGGGCATGGATTCAATTCCTCAGTATTTATTCATAGATTCATCACAATGTTGAAATTTTTCATTTTGCATGATCAAATATTTGGCATAATTCACAAGGTAGAAAAGTAAACACTGTTTGAAATGAGAGGAACACAACAAGAGGACAAAAATGCCTACTTGTGAAGCAAATCATGTAAAAGTCTCAAATATAGCGAGAACCTCAAGAGGAAGAAAACCACAGTTGAAACATGTCTCGGAGAAGGCAACTGTGAGTCGCTGGCTAGTTAAGACAAGACACCCACAAAAGACTTGCCCATCTACACGTGAGGTGTTCCTAATAATAAAAATGCTGCTGTAGGAAAACAAAGAATAAGCGCACTCGACTACACAGTGAAAACGGTAAGAATAGAAACGAGTCACTTCAGTCATTCTAATCTTTAGCCTACCCAGCTGTTTGAAGATCATTCAACAAGAAAAGGAATGGGCATAAGGCAGGGCACTGGGCATTGGTGTGGATTTTATTATCTGATGTCATCTTGGGTAAGAAACCAGGTAGGCTAAGTAATTGTTTATGAGAGCATTACTTGGTGGTCCTAATGATGCCAAATTGGAAAGGCTTTGTGTTTATACGCAAAGTTGTTTTCATCGTCCAGGGCTGGATTGAGCTTTTCTCCAGTGCCTTCTAAGCACCGGTATGACCTGACTGGAACATTTTTAAAGATACCGGTTGCTGTGGTGCAGAATCTCACTGTGTCCTTAATATAATAATCCACTCCTTTTGGACCAGGATGGATCTTGCCTTGTGGAATATTCAAGACTTACTTAAGAAATATTTGAACCATTTTGTCAACAGTCATGCTTGTACTGAATATCACAGGATATGAAAGAGTAACAAAAAACAGCGGCTTTCTTGGTTTCTGGGAAGTTATAAATATGAGACTTGGACACTGTTTCAGTGAAATGAAAAGAGAAACATCTTCAGTTATAGCACATTATTATTAATAGGATCGATTTTACTTTTATTCATAATTTGCATGCACATGTTGCCTTTACAGTTAACAAGTTGTACAACAAAAATTGTCATAACATTTGATTACTGCTAATGTCTCAATATAAATTGCAATCATACAAGTGAATAATAGGAGACTGGAAAGTAAATAATAATTTCTAATGACATTGCCACAGTATCAAAGTAGCTTGCATACCTCTTGCTTTGCTTATAACAATGTTTATTTCTAAGCAAGTTGTGCTGTGTATCCTTGCAGCACACAGAAATGTTTTGAATGCTGCTTTATTTGCTATGCTAATTTTTCCCATTCTGAAAGTTCCCCTAGATAATACTAGAATGAGAGTGCTAGCGATAAAGAATTAATCGACAACTGCGCTTTGCTTATCGTCTTGGGTTTCCTCTGTACTGCTTGACTAATTTCTTGGTTAAGAAAGTTTGGAACATATTTTTTTCTTATGGGGTACACATTACTGTACTTTTTCTTCTTTTGAAACAAATTTTTCCTAGGTATGTTTAAATGTCGAGCAAAAATAGACATTATTATAAATACAAATAGTTTCATGATAAAATGACGAGGATACATTTAGTTATTCAGTCTCGTGATGAATACCCTTCAGATATTGTATTCATAAATGTGATAGCAAATAGTCATATGAATATCTGTTTAGCTTGACGTGCTTTGTGCTTCTCTTTCAAGCCAACAATATGATGGGCTAGCAGCAGTGGGTGAGGGGTGAGTATGCTTCTGGTTTACTACACTGCTTCTTATTCATGCACCACCCAAATCAAATCCAGTATACACCATTTTTATTGATATACAGTGGACTCCTATTTGGAATGGAATTGGGGTCTACTGGGAAGGCAGATGAAGGGGAAAGATTCTGTTGTGATGGTTAGATTGATGTGATGGTTAGATTGATGTGATGGGTTGCAATAGAAAACTACAGAGAAGCTCCATTGAAGTGAGACTGTGTATTCATAGGATTGGAATTTGGTGTCAGAAAATTTCAAACAATCTGTAATTGAAATTAACAAAATATATAAAAGCTTACCATTTAAAATAATTTTATATTAAAATACTAAACAAAAGCGATATTATATTTTAATTAGTGCAAAAATAAAAGGTTTTGGTCCATAATATTGAAAATGAGCAAACTTTGGATGAGGCCTAGTAGAAAGTGTTCTTTTCAAGTGGGAGTCCATTGTATTTCTTTGGTGTGTAGACTCTCTATACGGGAGAATCGACTTTGTTTAAAACTTGTAATGCTTTAGATGCAAAGTATATATATATAGATAGGTCATGCAGTGGTTGTTACATAAACCCTAACAGGTCTTTACTCATTATTACCTCTGTCTCTTTATTTCTAAATTTATTTATTGTAGGTTTTTTCGGTGTTGGTTGTTAATACAGTACAGTAGTTTGTTCTTATCTGTGCTTTCTTTAATTTGGGTATATGTAATTAGGTGTAGTTGCTTGTATATCTTCTGTCTAGTTATTCTCCTAAGATTTCCCTGAAGAACTGAATGGCCTCCAGTTGCAAGGTACATTAACTAGAGGCTACTGTATTTTTTAATGTATAATCTTTAACTATCATTTTATTTATCAATAATTTTTGTTTGACACGAACATATGCTAAATCTCAGGAAAGTGGAGGAAGAGTTGGCCACACTCTCCAACATGGCCGAGACCGTCAACAACCGCTTGGCCACGTCCGGCCCTACCAACCCAGATGATGCATCCCAAGGGTCAGGTGAAGGTGTTGATCTTGACAATCTCTTCTCATTCCTTTCCAATATGGAGTCGGAAAAACATGTTCTTGACGACATTTCCCGCCAGATGGATGAGTTGGCGGATACCGTTGATGAGGAGGTACGATTGGCTGACATTTATTATTTACATATTTATTTATACAGTATATCTATATAATAAATATATATGTACAGTATATACAAGAAGGTATAATAGGTTGTGAAAGTATGTTGATAAGTGGTACATTCTTACAAAGCCATAAATACACACAGCATTTCAGGCAAATTTTAAGCCTAACATGAATTTCAGTGCATTTAAAAGTATGTAGAGGTGAAACAATCATTCTTGAACAAAAATAAATGTACTGACAGGTATATAATGACAGAATTTGAATTTGTGTAATTACAAGCTGTGTGTCATTACTTTTCAATCACACCCTCGCATTTCAAGAAACTTCAAAGGTGTGTGTGTGTGTGTGAGGGAGGGAGGGTGGGGAGGAGCTTTTATTTGAGTCTACCCCTCGAGGCCACCTCTTGAGGCCACCCCCTTCAAAAGTTATTCACTTAAGGTTCATTCCTTAAAGGCCTTCCTTCCCAAGTGGCATCTCCTGAAAGCCATCTTCTTGAAGATATGGGGATGCTCCAGGGAAGAGCAGCCATCAAAGGCACGGATGAGATATTCAATTATCACTGCATCTGAGCAGTTTCATAATATGTAGCACTCTTAATTACTGTACTTTCAATATGTGCATGAATCTTTATTGCTAATTTGTTTCATATTTGTACATTTAAAAGCACACACATGTATTATTATTAAATACTGTGCTGGTGATAGAGGATTCAAAGAGAAATTGCAGTGATTGAAGTGGTGTACTCCAAGTACTGCATTGGAATGCACTTGCACAATATGTTAATTTATCAAACGTTTCCCGCAGATTGAAGCTCTCAACCGTGCAGAGGAACTGGAAAACAGCCTCCCACCTCCTCCGTTACCAGAAGCTGTTAATGATGGATTTCCTCCTCCTTCACCTGGTGAACTGCCTCTACCTCTTCCACCTCCCTCGTCTTCCCCGCCACCACCACCACCTTGCAACGGAGAATCAAAATCAAATCGGGTTTCACGGGAGATCATTGTGAATGGAGATATGCCTCTACCCCCACCTCCCCCACAGGTAGAGTATGGGAAGATAGGGTGCTGGCAAATTCTCAAGTAATAGTTTTTAATCCCTTTGCCTTTATGCACAAGAAATACAATAGTAGTTGGTTTTTGTAGCAATTTTAATGTGCTTGCCTATCAGTGACTACGGAGAAGTGAGATCTAGCTCCTCATGCCCTGCCTCCTAGTCATTTATACTTTATATGTTGTGCTAAAAGTGAGATACACGGTATTATCTTTGTATACTTATTGTTTCATCCAGAATATGACTCTACTTACAGATTAATGGATACCATGAAGAAGAGAAGCCTAAAGAGCCAATATACGAGACCATTCCAGCAGGGTTGGCAGGAGCCCAAGCTCGTCGTGAACCTAATTATGTTTCTGGTCCACCACCTGCAGGTTAGTTTGCTTAGTAAATATGAGTGCAGGTGTTGGTATGGAAAGCAAGTTGGGTGAATATGAGTGCAATATCAAGGCATGTCAGGGGCTGAGTGAGAGGGGTGTCAATAGGAAGATGTGTCGAGGGCTGTGTACTGATAAGGGTCTGGGGGGTAGCAGTGCTGCACTTATCACCCTTCTTACTAGTGCCAAGTGATATAATATATATATAGAGTAGACTGTTTCAGTGTAAATTTGTGACTTCTTTACATACTGAGAAATAGTATAGTACAGTACTGCCTGTATGAGACCAATAATAAAGGTTTTTGATAAGCTTATTGTACTTATTGTACTGTAATATATTATAGTCCGATGAATGCTGAAATTTTACTTGATATAAATAACAAATTTCGAGTGTTAAATCCTTGCTATCAGTACAGTTCAGGGAATTAAATAACCAAGGAATTTATTTAAAAGGTTCTAAGGTATGATTTGTAATATTATTGTTTTTTCTGTTATATTTGGGTATTCACAAAAGATGTTCTCGTAATACATAAACATTTCAGTTGGTTAGGGTAAGAATGTCTAAGAAAAGTTAGGTCCTCTATGAACGTTATATAATTAGGTTACTTTTTGTGCATAAATAAGAACACATGTTTTCCTTTACAGGTCCTCCTCCAGCTCCTCCTGAAGAATCTGTCGAACTGAGAAGACCGAGAGAGATCACACTTGGAGAGCCATCAAGTGAGCGAAGGCGGAGAACTTCAGGCCAGAAGAGACCTTCACGCTCTCCTACAGCACATAGCCCAACTCGCTCTGCTCGATCTAATACAAGGAGTCCTGGAGTGAGTCAGGTGAGATATTGTCTTACTCAACTTCATCTAACACACAGAGTTCTAGGGCAGAGTCAAGTAGGATATTATTTTAACATTAGAGGTTGGAGTTGAAGATACGCATGCCAGATACATGTACAGTATTGGCACTTAACCTTCAACATTTGTATTTAGAGTGAAAATTTGAAATTTTCAATACACCTTGTAAAGGCCAAAGCTCTTTCAGTATCAGCCTTTCATTTGCAGGGGCAGGATGAAATTGTGGGTACGTTATCTTATACAGTAATATAATGAAGAATTTTTTTTTTTTTTTTTTATCACTGCCTTTACTTTTACTTGTACCATGGCTTTTGGAGTATTAGGATGTAAAGGGAAGGGAGTTATCAGGAGAAAGTATCAAGCCATTATGACTATAGCACTTGAAAGGGATGAGGATAAGGATTAGGGATGGGATGAGGCAGAGAAATGTCGTCCAAGAACTTGGACGGTTAGGGATTGAACGCAGACCTGCACGAAGAAAGACGTCCCACTTCAAAGGTTTTCCTGGCTTGTCCATCATGTATAGTGTTAGGTACACCGCCATATTACCACACAATAAGAATCCTCTTCATAGTAATGCTCCAAAGTCATAGCAAATTATGTTCCAGTTTTTTATTAACAATGTTTGTAATATACGATAAACTAAAATATATACTGTAATTTATAAGCTAAATTAAGACACTATTAGTTTTCTCATTTGAAAAGCAGTCTTCAGACAGGGAAAGTGTATGAATGTACATGATTTCGTACACAATATGAGAAACAGTCCAACAATTTAGACCGAGTGGTACAAGAAGTTGGCATTCAATCCCCGATGATCCAAGTGGTTGGGCACCATTCCTTCCCTCCGTCCCATCCCAGATCCTTGTCCTCGTATTTCCTTCCAAGTGCTATATAGTCATATTGGTTAGCACTTTCTCCTCATAATCACTTTATATTTGTTAAGTAATGGTAATGTCTTCTCACAGACGTAATAACATAAAAACTTACACTTGTGTATTTGTGAAATTTATGTAAGGAATTTACACCAGGTCTTTTGCACTCTCCTGAGTGCTTTGTCAAGGTCCGAGTGTGTGGTTAGGACGAGACTTGCATCTCGACGTCTAATCAATATCGAGACGAGATGTTGAAATATAAGTCTCATCCTATTTACCTTTGTTCTTCCAGCCACGCGCAAACAGTCGTAACAATGGAACAGTCGAGGATCCTGAAAGAGTTGAAAGAAGAAAACAGCGAGTGGAGCGCAAACTGCACGAATTGGAGGAGCAGGAAGAAAATAAGGAGAATGAGAATCAAAATCACTTTGATTTGATTGAATTTGCAGAGAAGTTCTTCAACAACCATGAACGATCCCCAGAAGGTAAATTATTTAATTGCATTATTGAAGCAATTTCAGTTTCATGGGGCATTTGGGCATCAGTTTTAATATTTTACTCCAAACATTTAAACAGTTTTCTTTACCATAATATATTTGACTCAATTTTATTTTATTTTGTCTTATTTAAGTACTTTACTGTTCAGTATTAAATGATTTTTGTTCAGATTTTACATGAACATTGTTCTGTTAATTATATAAAAAAAATGACAAATCTTTTATATCTACGGAACACAGAACTTCTAATTTTTTTACTTTTAATAAAGATTTTGTGATTGTAGGAGTCATTAAGATGTCTACTTGCACCACAGGCACCATCATGTCAACACTGACACGCAAGCGCTCCACAGCCGAGTTTCTCCCCAAGTATGAGCTGATCACATACTCTCGCTCATCTATCATCCCCACCTCCCATGTCCACCTCTACGACCCAGAAAACATCAACCTTGCCTGCACCATCTTTAGGGTCAGTGTTTTGGCTGCTCATTGCATATTTAATACCATCAAAAGGATATCATATAGTCTGCCATTTCACCATCCTTATATATTTATTTTATTTCATACTTGTTAGGTGACTTATCAGGGATTACAAATGTGACCCATTGGGTTGACATTTTAATACAACAAATAATTATATAACCCTACAGATAGGTTTGCAAATAGAAAATTGGTATACTGTACTGTAAACCAAATGGTCCAAGTTTGCAAACAGAAAAGTACAAACTGAATATGCCCAAGTTTTATTCCCAAGAATTGGGTTGCATCCAAGGTGCATCCTTGCAAAGATATAAACAGAGATTGTCTTGGACGTCTCAATAAGCTATTACAGTACTGTAAAGTGTCCCAAAGTATGAGCCATTTTATAAGTAGGTAAAAGGGATACAATTTGACTTGGCTGTTAATGCAGCTATATAGTGAGTGTGTGTGTATATATATGTGTGTATGTATGTTGTACTCACCTAGTTGTGCTTGCGGGGGGTTGAGCTCTGGGTCTTTGGTCCCGCCTGCAAAGACCAATGTATATTTGTCTAAAATGTAGAAATAAGATCACCACATTATAAACATAGGTGGGCTGCAGGCATTCTTTGGACAAAGATATTATTTTCAAAATATCTTTTTAGATGTTTTAATAAGATGTTTGATTTGGTTTGCTGTTGTGAATTAAGTCACTTGTAATCTAGGAATTAGCCTATAAATTATTGTTAAATATAACTAAAAGATGTAATTCATTGCAGGACTTGTGCAAATACTGTCGAGGAGAGTTGAAGGCAGAACAGGAAATAACCACCATACAGAGCATCATTGGACACGGCTTGGAGCGAGAAGAGCTGCGAAATGAGATTTTTGTTCAGTGTATGCGACAAGTGACAAATAATCCCAGTACAGAGTCACTGGAACGATTATGGCTTATGTTGTGCCTTTGTGTTGTTGCATTCCAACCCGGAAAGTTGCTTCATAAAGTAAGTGTGCTAGAGTGTGTTGTTTAGTCTTCTGACAAAACCATTGTTATGCATAACACTTTGAGAAACTTACAACTGAAATGTGCCATCACGTTATATTGTTGCCGAGTATTAGCACTCGCAATAAGTATAGAGAATTACAAAGAATTTTAGGTTTTATACAGCAAAACACAAATTAGAACTAAAGATTGACCATTTTATACGTCGTTGCTATGAAAGCAATAATGATTGTACTTAACATACTGTATTTGTAACTGTGTTTTTTCTCGTCCCTGATGAATCTCAGTATTTTGTAAGCTTCCTGCAAAAGAACCTAACTCTTGAGGGCAAGTTGAAGCAGTATGTTCAGTGGTGTTTGGAAAACTGCAAGAACACGAAGGTATCGAGCAGACGACTGGCACCATCTTCAGTTGAAATTGCTGCTATGAAGAAACTGGGAACAATTGTCTGCAGGTATGTAAAATAAAAATAATATAGTGCATTTTTAACCACTTCAATTTTGTTCATTGTAGTTTTGGTTATATTATGCAAGTCCCCTTCTCTAACAAAACATATTTCTTTAGTGCAATAAAATTTTATGGAGTTTGGAAATGTGCTTCGAGCCTAAAAGGATTATTGAAGAAATGTATGTTTGAAAATAGTGGATGGCCCTAATATGCTTCTAATTTTACTTTATTTTTATAACACGGTTATTATTATTTCAGATTTTTTTTCTTGGATGGTCGCACTAAAGCCATCGACGTCCACCCTCGGGACACGGCTAGTGATGCTATGCAGAAGTTGGCAGACCGCCTGGGTCTGGGAAGTTTAGAAGGCTGGGCGATATATGAATCTGGGTCTGATGGAGATAAACATGTGAAGAGTCACGAATACCTTTATGATGTCATATCATCTTGGGAAATGTAAGTTTCTATATACAAGTATGTTTTGTATATAATTTTAATAATACTATGAAAGGAAACAGAGTTATGAAGCATACACAAAGAAATAATGGCAATTGGACAACATTATACTGTTATAAATGTATTTTGAAATATCACTATTACAAAATTTGTTGAAACTTTAAAAACTCAAACATGTCGAGTTCCTATAAGATATTTAATTTTCCATCAGTGTTATTGACTTGCTTTACTGAAAAGTCCAAGAATGGCATTCATAGTCACTGCAAAAGAATGCTGTACATAAATTAGTATATATTGCCTTAAATATAATTCTAATGTCATACAGTATAATGCAACACTCAAGCCTTCATAATGAATTTTGGACAGTAAGTTGTTTCACTTGATAAGCTGATCCTTTAACTTAAAAATTGCTTAATTGATATATTGAATGATCATATTAATATAGAATATATGTAAATCTTGCACATAATATTTATTCTTATACTGCAAGGGTTTTCATTATATCAAATATAACTCCATCATATTATGGTCTTGGCAATATAAAAAATTTTTTTTAACCTACGTAATACTGTAGTAAAAAATGAAATATTCTATTTGATAAAGGAAACAACAAAAGGCAGGAAGTACCGGTATATATGGTACACTTAATAAAAAGGCAGCGCAGACGGTCAGCGCCGGCGAGAACAGATTTGTATTCCGGAAACGTTTGTTCCGTACTCCTCGTGAGATTCCAAGTGACCCAGTTCAAGTCAACCTCCTGTACGCCCAGGCTGTGCATAGTGTTGTTAGAGTGAGTACTTTTGATATTACCGTACGTGTACGTGTGTGTGCGTGCGTGAGTGAGTGAGTGAGCGCGTGCGTGCGCAAGGTTATCATTCGTATCTTGAATTTATATGAAATAATCAAATCTTAAATTGGGAGAAACATGGTGTATCGGAGAGGTTGTGTCACCTCCCACTTATCTGTTTTCTGTTAATTTATTACATTTTGTTTTGTCAGTATTTTCAGTGATTTAATGAGATTATCTACCCTATAGCTGGTCTTGGATATTTCATTTGATTCATTTGTTGTATTTCACTGGAATATTCTAAATTTTTAATATTCTTCACTATCTATTACAGTACTGTCATGAAACTCTACACTTTCTTCATTATCAATCAGGTTTATAACTTTTAAAATCAAATTTACTTCCCCTTCATCTTTATCAAAACAGGGTTTTAAGAGTTCTTCCATTGTCTATTTATACAGTATTTGTTTACGTTCCTAATGACAGTATTTATGTGACTTCAACTCGACTGGTATTATTTATTTTAATAAATGTACTTTTTATTGCAGGCGGACGAGTTCCCAATCAATGAAAAAGTTGCACTTCAGTTAGCTGGTCTACAAGCTCAAGTGGCTCTCGGTGATCCACAGGACGGCAAGACTGAGTTTTATGCCGACATGCAGTCATATTTACCTAGTCGGATTGCACAGACTAAAAAACAGGCAGAATGGGTGCGTACAGGAATTGTTCAGAACTATAATACAGTACTGCATTAATATAAACTGTTATCCTTGATTATCATAATAAAATGCATTATGAAATACAGTACTGTACTTTTAATATGTTTTGGCAATTGTAAATGTCTGGTGGACATTAGTCATATATCAAGAGTACTGTATTATATTAAAGTACTGTACTGGCTTTTGTATGTACACCTATATAATGAAATATTACAAATATCTTGGCATTTGCTCTTATTATATTCTTTATTTAAAATACATTATTCTAAAGATTCCACAATAACATTTTGGCACATTTATAATGTAAAAATTTTAAGAGCTTAAGCAGAATTTTGATTATTTGGAATTGAAATATGTGATTAAACACATTTATTTTCTCACCAGGTACCAATCCTCTCGCAAGCCCATCGGCAGTATGGTACAGGGAAGACGGATATCGTGGCCAAGGTGTGGTACTTGACATGCGTAATGCAGTTTCCCCTCTATGGAACCACAATGTTCCAGGTGTCTTATCGAGGATATTGGTCGTATGGTAATACGCTCATACTGGGAATCAACTGTGATGGAATTGCGATGATCAAGCCAGATGACAAATTTATATTATATGAATACCGATATTGTGATATAGAATCAATCTTCCTAGACCCCAGGTACGGTGTTCTTTATATTGTAAAATTATGTTTTACAGTATATTCGTACTCGTGTATTATATATTCATACCTGTACTGTACAGTATGTATTTAAGACAACAGAAAGCTTAGTCATAAAATTTCACTTTAAATATTGAATAATGGAGCACTGTATCAGTCAATATAATTTCAATATGTAAATTAGATATTGTAAAAACAAAAATAATGAGGTGCATGAGGTTCAGATAAGTTGAAATGGCCTGGGTTTCAGTGACAACTTTATCACCATCAACCTACTACGCACACTGCCAGACACACACAAATGCTTCGTGTTTGAGACCAAGGAGAAGCAAGAGATTGGCTTTCTCATTGCCAGCTACTCACCTCTATTAGCATCCTGGATTAAAGATATGGATTCAAACAAAAAGGTTAGTATAGGAACTTTGACTTGTCTTGTTGTATCATACTGTACATATAATGGTGTCCTTTCAGTTGCTAGAATTATATTTATAGAGATCATGTATCCTGCTGGATAGAGTATAATTTGGTCACAGGTCATATGGAAAAATAGGATGCATACCAGGACTAAATCGCGTAATCTAAAACTTAGTTCATCCGTCCATCTCTTCCATATCTTTATCTAGTCATAGAACTTGGTTAGATTTGTTAGGTATGTCTTTTTCCCTCCTGAAACCAATTAAACACTAAAAGTTTAATTTATGTAAATGCTGCAGTGTACACTGTTCACTGCTACTGTGATTCTGTGAAGTGTGGTGGGGTTGAACATGTTCCATGTTTAGGGGGGCAGAGGGACAAATAGGTACCTAGGTGTTATTCAAAGCTGTGTTTCTGTTCAAGTATCATTAATATTTGTAAACTGGGAAAGTGGGGTCTTGTTTTGCTACTTGTACTAAGGGTGATTACCTTTCTCCAAGATGCAAATAAATTTTTGTTTAATATTCTATTATGAATAGCATTGTTGAAGCCTCGAGTATTAGTTACGATGCCAATTGACAACAATTTTAATAAATTAATTTTTTCCAGGTGAAACAAATTACAGGTGAAGACCGGGTGAGACTTTACTACAACTTGGTGCATACCAGACGACAGATCATTGATGCCAGTATACTCAGGAAACCTCAGGACACGGGCGGTAACTTCATCGTCAGCACGCTCAGAAGGTATACACACGTGTTGGCACAATTTCAACCCTATTCACCTATTAAGATGCCCAGAAGGCATTCACACATGCATACTAGCATATAGTTAACCAACCAGTTATAGTTAAACTAGCATATAAGTTATAGTTAAAGTTATAGTTATAATTTGTTTTACCCAGCTTTCTTAATATTTTTAGTTTAAAAGTTAACAAACTTCTTTGTATTAAGAAATATGATGTATACAAGTAACATTGCTTTATACTGACATTTGTAAAAAAAAAAAATCCATTTTAAATATAGTTTTAATTATAGCATCCTTTTATGAATTGACTAATTTGTTTCTTCCTCTAGGTTAAATAAGCAAAAGCTAGAAAAGCTACGTCAAGACTATGGGGAAAATTCCGAGACATACAAGGGCTTCCATCACATGTTCTGGGCATTTTCCAAAGCCCCACTTACACAGACCCTGACTAAAATACCAACTCCAGAAGTGGAACAACAAGCGATTCAGATTTCTCTTGTCATTCTTACATATGCTGGTCTAAATCCAAATGGTAAGTTTTTGTTTTTCAATTTTGGCTGTTACCAACATAATTCTTATTTCCATACACACTAAATCGAAAATATAATTTAAAATAAGAAATTTCTGCTTAACCTTGTTGTAGTTTGTTTTGTTGTGTGATATTGTAAATTTTGAAATGTGTAGTTCTTGAAAATTTGTCACCTAATCTCAGGTTATCCAAATTTCTGTTTGGATATGAAGTTATTACCAGAAAATTATCCAAATTGGCCCAATGAAATATCAGTGATTGTTTAATTCCACTAAAGCACCTCAGTTTGGATGCTGGCGTTAATAGCAACCAAAATTATGTAAATCTCAAGAGAGGATGATGCAAAGGAAAATCAATCGCAATTCAACTTGACTCCAACATCAAATTTGATCTCAATTTATAAAATTCTATCAATAGCTGATGAATGCATACATGTAAATTTTAATTTTGTGATTTGTATGTACTTTGTGTTCAGCTGAAGCAGCGGTGACAAGCGACGACCAGCAGCTGAGCATGGTACAGGGTGTGGTGGAGCAGTGTATGAAGAGGGACCTTCTCCTTAATGAAACTTACCTTCAACTTATAAAGCAGACAACAGATCATCCAGGTACCTAAAACATACAATGTGGAGCCATATTTCATTCACTCATCAAATGGATGTGATAGATTATGTATCAGCTCCAGTATAGATGAGTTTTGGATATAGTATGTTTTTGCCACTAAATTTAATGTTTACATATGCTGCTAGTAAAAATAGACTGATTAGCAATACCGTAATGTATATAAAGTCTTGAAAGGTTTAAAAAATAAGGAACTACAGTACGTGTACATCTTTTTTTTTTTTTTTAAATAGTGCCAGTTTGCAATGTATTTTATATATAAAATATTATTATATAGTAGCTTATTAGATAAAATGGCTATGCTGACCTATTATAATATTATTACTAGTTGCAAATACAGTATTGGCTTGCTTTTAGCCCTTACCCATATCTGTACTGTTACAGTACTGTAATATTTGTCCGTAGATCCTAACTCCAGAGTCAACCTTCGCCACTGGTCGCTGCTCACACTATTCTGCTCTGTAATACCACCGACTGATAAAACCATAAGAAAGTACCTGCGTGCTCACCTGCAGCGTTGTGCAACAGATTATGTATCGGAAGAGGGCAAATATGCTCGCTATGCTGAGAAGGTATACCAGTGTTGTTTATCACTACGTTATGGGAAGTGATCGCTTAGTGTTATTCCTCTATATTAAAATAATTGATATGTGTTGGATGAGGACAGTGTATTATAGTTGGAGGGAACAGTGTATTATAGTTGGAGGGAACAGTGTATTATAGTTGGAGGGAACAGTGTATTATAGTTGGAGGGAACAGTGTATTATAGTTGGAGGGAACAGGTGGGGGGTCTGCATTTGGGATCAGATTTCTCTATCTTGTTAGCATTAAGTAAACTAAACTGAACCTTGGAGGTTTTAATTTTGACTATCTTGACAAGGAGTAGAATATACACAATTAACATGTCTGCACAATTGCTTCTTTACAATATGTGCAAATCGAGGACAAATTGTATGACACAATGTCTATTAAAAATAATTTTATTCACCTGTTGCCTCTTTCCTTCCAGTGTTTGGTTAAAGCACTTAATAATCGGCGCAGGCAGTGGGCACCTTCAAAGCAAGAAATTTTATGTACCATAAACCGCCGACCAATATATGCCAGGTTCCACTTCATGGATGGCCAATTCCACTCTCTAGAATTTGATGCATCTGCTACTGCTGCAGAAGTTGTTCAACTCATAATGCACAAAATTGGCTTAAAAAGTACTGCAAAAGGTAATGTATTAAATGTGCTTGTAGTGGTTTTGATTATTATATTGCATAAATTGTCTTGCACCTACTTTACATATATACAGTATATTTTTTACCTTCTCTTTTTGACACCAATCTCCTGTCAGCAGGCTAAAGCTGGAGCCACATATATTTAGGCTAAAGCTGGAGCCACATATATTTAGGCTAAAGCTGGAGCCACATATATTTAGGCTAAAGCTGGAGCCACATATATTTAGGCTAAAGCTGGAGCCACATATATTTAGGCTAAAGCTGGAGCCACATATATTTAGGCTAAAGCTGGAGCCACATATATTATTGTTGTAACAATACATATCACCTATATACAGTCTTCAGCTACATTCACTAGTCTGTTGACTAATACATAAGACACGATAATAGTTAATACTATTTTCTAAGGTTTTGATGGAATATGTCGGAGATTATAGATAAGCTACTGTACATTATGTAGCATTCAGAGAATCACTACTGTACAGAAGCTAATACTCAACATTAAACTTCTGTTGATGTTGAGAAGATGTCTTCAATAACATACTGTATACAGATGTTATAAAGAAAAAAATTTAATTGATACAGGTTATGCAATATACGAGATGTTGGGCACAACTGAAAGGTGTATAGTAGCAGAAGAAGTGCTAGCCGACGTAATGTCCAGATGGGAGCGTTACCGGCAGTCCACTGCGGCCACCCAGCACCACACCCATCATATTTTCCTGTTTAAGGTACAACACAAGATTTGCAAAGGTGACAGGCAGTAAATAAACACTAAATGAAGATTATATTATTACATTTTAAAATCTGGATATATATATTTCAACCAGAATAAATGGATAATAATAATAATAGAAATGAATAGCAACCAAAAATATATTGGAATTACAAGTATAATTTCTGGTAAATTTTTAATGTACATTTGCTCTGAGCAAAATGAACTTGCTAACTCAAAAATGCAGTTCATGTCATTCTATTTAGATATGAACCTATATTGCAGTGAATATATGCCCATTTCACTTTTGTGTACATATCTTAAAAAAGATATTAGAATAGCTATGCAAGATTTCTTAGCATACTGAAGACATGCCATACAGTATATCTATGGCACATGTGCTAATTGACAAACTGTAGTTATTTAATAATTTGATCAATACTAATTAAGGTTCTTAACACAGAAACACCTTCTACTGGAATCATGGCTGGATCTGAGTGATAATGTAGAGAAGGAGCTGCTCTATTTCCAAGTGCTGTACACTCTTCGTGCGGATAAGTTCCCCGTCACCCAGATGGAGGCTGTAAGTAATACTGTTAAAGTTACTCGTACATGCTCTCCCACCTCAAACTTTCTACTCATTTATTGGCATTTTCCAAATTGCCATACAGCTGCCTTAAACACTGTAAACCATGGAGCTTCATCAATATAAACTTTCTTGCCAGTTTCTGTGATTTTTAAGGAAATGCAGGAGGGGATTAGTGATTAGTTTGTGTCATACAAAGGGAAAGTGGAGCACTTCATGTGAGGTGACTGGTGATGGCTTAAGAGGCACAGCATAAGCTACAAGATCACATTCCTGTTGGGCTATTTGTCAGTCAACCTTTAGACTGGAGTTTCCAGACATAGTGAGGCCTCACCATAGTGAGTTTAGATAATTTCTCACCAACTTTCATTCCATGGCACAAAACTAATTGGAGTAGAGTTAAGTTCCTGGGCAGGATTAGACTCTTGAGCATGTTTCCTTAGTCAATGCTCTTGTTCACCTAATAAATAGGTACCTTGGAGTAGAGCAACTGCTTATGTATACGATATTATATACATCATATCAGTTTATTAACGTTCATCCACGTGGAGAGTCCAATTAACTCCATCTAACTGTTGTACTGGCAAGTGCTATAAATTTTAAAAAGTGCCCTAGATATTGGCAAAATTAGGCTATTTGTGTTGTAAATATGCAAAGTTGGGATATATAGGAAGGTTATTGAATTTGTTAACTGGGGTAATAGCTTAAGTCTATGTCATAATACCTAAACCATGATTTGTTACTTTTGCCATGAAATTTCTGGTGAACCATTTTGTTCAGGTCTGCCTCACAGACTTTACACATCATACAATATATAAATATATTAATCAGCAAGTTCCTATTTGATGATCTCATTAGATATGCAGTGGTTGTTTATATAGGCTTTATTATAGCTGAACAGAACAGAGTTTAATCGGTGGTAATGTTCATAAGCACATGGTGATGGCAGTACAATAAGAAAAGATTTTGGATAATGTACTATGATTTTAAAATGCATTATTAGTTTATTAAGATAATGGTAAATACTATATTCAGAGATGTATTCAACTTGTTTTATAACCGTTTTCAGGTGATGCTATGTTCCTTAAGGGCACAGATAGAGCTGGGTAACTTCACAGGAGCAAACATGGACTATGGGGAAGTGATAGCGCACACACTATCGCCACGGCTTTTGTCAAATGTGACGCACGAGGCAGTGGCCATGCACCACCAGAGTTTGTTTAACATGGACTCACAAGAAGCAAAACAAGCCTTCCTTAATCTTATAAAATCTTGGCCATTGCACAGAGCCACAATATTTGATGTCACGGTAAGTTATGACTTCTTTATTTCTTACTTTGGAGCAATGAGGCTGTGTGAAGCTTCTAGCATACATTCATAAGCTCATGTGTATCTATGCAGTGCTACACTGGACTCTTAATCACCATGAAAATAACTACTTAGCCTGATTACTGTGGCAGACAAGGTACGGCAGAAGTAAAAAAGGCACCACCTTTCTTGGTGATGATTGCCTGCAAGATGCTTTTTGCAGTACAATTTACCATTTAGTGGCCTTTATTGTTTCCAGTGCTAGTGTTCTTTCAGTCAAATCATTTGTCCTTTACCTCCACCCCTAATTATTAGCTGAAAGAATTGCCTTTAAAGATGAGTCGGTAGTAACCATAACATACATGTACACATTCACATCATCACCCTTGCTTAGGAGAGAAGCTGGACAGGCTATAAATTTCCAAAGTCATCTTTGTTTTCTCTCATGGGGGTGACTTTCTGTACAAATGTATCCCTTGAAAGAAGTCAGCATAAAGAGTTCTTAGAAAACTTAGGCTGCAAACCATCTATCTGCATCAAGGTTTTCCAACCAAGGGAGAGGCTGTTCATGTGCATGGTATGTGATTAACTTACCTTTTAAAGGCAACTCCTTTTGTATACTTTTCTCATGAATTTTCACAACATAAAATTATCAGATTAATTTAATCTGATAATTTTAATTCAGTCTGATAAATTTATAAGCATCAGGCATGTTCCTTATTTTTAATATTCATTTGCAACATATGATTTTTATGTAAATGTTCTACACTCAAAAACAAGCCTTGAGATGTGTTAGCATTGATGAGGCAATGTGTCCATGCTGGTGTGGACTTAACACACATGTTAAAACAAGTTAACTCTGGCTTCCTTTAATTTTGTTTAGGTTGACAAATATATTATAATCTGGGGTCTTATAAGATGTAATAAATGTTCGAGCATGCTTTATCGTCTTAATGTCTGCCTTTTCCAGCAATCATTTACCTCCAACTGGCCCAAGGTTCTTTGGCTAGCAATTGATGAGAGCGGCGTTCACCTGCTGGAACATCGTTCAAGAAATGTTCTTTGTACATATGAGTATGACTACATCCTCAACTACTCTGCTTCCATCACAGCTCTCATGATTATCACAGGATCAACACGAAAACAAAGCAAAATAATTCTCAATACTACCCAGGTGAGCAGCATTTAGTTTGTATGGATCTATGGACAATGTTGTTATAGTAAAGATGAGCTTAATTAACAAAAAAGGGTGTACAAAAAAAGCAATGAATATAATAAAATGCAAGTACTAGGTCATCTCTCTCTCTGTGGCCAAACAGTACATAAAAACAAATACAAGAACAGCCCCCCCCCCACATGCAGGACACAATCCAAAGGATTGCCAATACAGAACTTAGTTGAAGAGTGGAGCCCACTCCTGGTTACTGGGACTGCCATTTGGTTGCAAGGATGTGGAGCTAACTAGTGGTTAAATCTTGGCAAGATGTGTGTACATAGTTTGCATCAAGATTGCACTTGCTTGTTTTAATGTTTTCTATCTTTGATGGTTTTCCCTTTAATATGTTACTCATCTAGTATCCCCACTCCCCTCCATACCTCTATCAAAGGAGCCAGAATTCGGTCCTGGTCTTCTGGAGGAACACTTCAATGGAGCATGATTTGGTAACAGGGTTTGAAGGACTCCAAGTGGGTAGCTCAGGGCGAGAGAGAGAGAAGCCCTCACAGAAAACACTTCACACGCTTGAATTATCTTGCTGTATGAATTAATAGCAATACGAATAAATTAACTTGGACAAATTTTAATTATCTACCTTATTTCAGGCTTTCATGATTGCTACTTTAATCAAGGATTACACAGAAGTCTTGAGGGAAAATCTTATTGGTGGAGATGGCCCCCCTCCTTCAGGACTAATGGCACCACCTGCAACGCAAGAATGTGTGCCACAGGAACCCAGACACTCCCGCCCTCACAGTATTATGGCTCGACCGCCTCCAACGTTAACAGAGGAGCTCGTTACTCAGTGATCTCTTCATTACTGCTTTAGATTTGAATCGTTACTTTTCTGGGTTTTCAGTGACCAACACGGTACTGTATTAAACGTTATAAACCTGCACAAAAAAAATACAGCATTCTGGAAAATGCTTAACAGTTATGCATTATTTATTCTTGAAATACTGTACAAATATATTAATCAACAAACCTGGTCATCAACCACATGATTCAGAAACTATTATTATTTTCAGGGAGGGAAGCTGTGTGTCAGGATAGTCATTTTTAATAGCAAACAATTTAAAATGTGAAGTAGAATCAAACTTTTCAAGAGTTTATATATAACAAAGCCAGAGGCTTGTCAAAGGTCCTCCATTAGTGCAATCCAAGAAAATTGTAGCAGCGTTAAATATTTTATTTACATTGCAGCACCAAAAATGTTATTTATAAACTTCAAATTAATTATTTATTAAAAGTTTATTATAAATTATTGGTTTGTCAGGCCATAAAATTAATTTTCTTTCAAGAACTTCTAAGTTGCTTAAAGTATTAGATTACAGATATAGTACCTCACCATACTATATTTCCTTTATATAATCTATGAATTTAAATTAAAAGTGTCCATAAAATTAGGTATTTGCTCTCTTCAAAGGAAATGGTGTTGAATAATGAAGCTCCAATTTCTGGGTGAGCCCCCAGTCTCTCTCTGAAGCCACTATTTCTGATAGAGCCATACTACTAAGTGTCATCAGTCACAGATTTCTATTGGCCTACTGAGGACCACAACCCAGAACCTGGCTCCTCAGCGGTGCAGGATACCACAACACAGACAATCTGAGAAAACGAGCCTTGGAACATGGAACCAAGGCAGCAGCAGCAACCTACAAAGCACCCAACGAGGCAGAACCAGAGGCACGAAGGTTGTGGCAAACAGCTGCCATTGAACACAAGATGGACCCCTGGTTGAACCAACCAACACCAAGGGACCTCCATGGAAGGCAACCGACATATCTGCCAGGAAAGGAGCTGGCTGCAAACTGCCTGCCTGCCAAAGCCAATGGAACAAGAGCACCAGTGCCAGGAGAGCAAGAAGCATGGCCACCCGATGACCAGAAGCAAGAGACACACAAAAAAAAAAAGCCTGAAAGACAAACCCTGACTGAAGGGTATAACAGAAACAGTGGAAGAATTTAAAGGACACAGACAAGAGATGAAATGGGCTCAGGCAACCCAGGAGCAAACCAGGGGCAAACCACATGAGACGGCCTTTGAAATGGCACCAAGGTAGGATCAACCCTGAATGCAAGCTGCAGTGACTCCACCAATACCACACAACATGAGGCAACAGTAATCGACAAAAGTTGCTGAACAAGAAACTACCAAGACAAAGGAGAGCCACATTCTCAGACACTGAAGAACGGCAAAGAGGAGAAAAGAAGCCACCAAATTGCCACAGTGAAAAATCATGTTTCAAAGACCAGACTCGGAGTGTAGAAGTACAATCCAGTAAATACCAAAGCTGACCCAACCCACCCAGAGGCGTGGAAAGAGGCACTGGTTCGAAACCAACCAGCAGCGCCTGAAACCAAGAAACCAGTACCTAAAAAGGAAGCCAGGAAGAACAGTCACCAGAGGCAGACCCCGACCTGGCCAGGAATAAGAGCCACAGGGGAAAAAGAAACAACACCTTCCCAATGCAACAGCCAAAGCATCCAACACATGAGCCTCACTATGGGTAATAGAGCCACATAATGGAATGAGCCGAGACCACACAAATGCAAAGAGGCCCAGGTCCAGACGCCTGAAAGACATGGAAGGAAATAGAAAGGAGACCTGAACGGGCTACCCCGAGAAATGGGAAGGAACCAGGACAGACCAACCATGAGGACAGTGGACCCCTTCAGGAAACGAATAGTGGACAGACAAACCCCAGAGAACCCAGCAGAAGAGCTGCCCACAGAGACCAAGGCAACCTTCCCCCTCCAGGCAGAAACAGAGAACAACCAGGGAAAAGGCTGAAAAAGCTGGAGCACAGAGCTTGGGAACCCACCCCCCGCAAGCCATCCAGGATCCAAACTACCCTGCAAGCCTGAAGAGGAAGTTGGAGATGACAGCCTGCCTCGAAAGAGTGCAGAACTGGCAAAGTTAAATTAATTCCCGAGGAAAGGAAGGGACCAAAGCAGGCATATGCACAAGCACCCAAGGCACCAAGAGTCAACACAACACCCACAAGATAGCAGAGCAGTAGCCAGGAAATGGCTCAGCCAACCTGATCCCAGGATGGAACCAACTGGAACCAGAACCCTGATAGGCCAGGAATAGCCAGAACCTCGATCAGTGGATGCAGAGACCAGCTGGGAGCCCACACCTGAAAGGAAAGCCACGTGCCCCACCACATACAGGGACAACCCAGAATTCCGAAGATGGACAGGCCAAGACGCATCCCAGAGGTCCAGGGAGAGCAACCAAGAGGCTACCTTGCAAATGAGACAGACTACAGACAACATGGTCAACTGGAAAGAGGTGGCCAGAATAGCTGGGTCAGTCACGAAGAATATAAAACCATGCCCTAGGATGGGACTGAGAAGAGCCAAGAAAACCACCTAAATGGCAAAGACAGGACCAGCCCTGCAAGACCACACACCAAGAAACCCCAAACCAGGCAAACACTCGACAGACCACCAACCACAAGTGAAGCTGCACAAACCCCACTCGCCCACAAGAGAGGAGGGGGGGGGGGGCAACCAGGCAATCGATGAGAAGCACGCAAGAGGAATCCCAGAGACTCCTGCAGCCCATTTGAACTCCATGGCACAATGGAGCAAGGGCACGACAAATGCTGCAAAATGCCAAGAGAACATCTGACCAACAAGGCACAACAAAGAGAAGAGCTGGAAAGAGCGTACTGTACATGGAAAGAAAAGTCCCATGATCTTCAGGGACTTGAAAGGTAGGCACTTGCAGAATGCCGATCTTGTTGGGCCCAAGGCATGCGGAACCAAATCCAGGAGAAAGCTGCACCAAAAACAGAACTGGAGAGGGAGAGGGGAAACAAACTCCCAGCCCCAAGCCCCCTGCTAAGAAAACCCTTCCCAGAGGAAAACAGAATCCACACAGTCGTCCTGAGCCCAAGGGCACAAAACTGGTTTCCGCCTTACCCCTCCAAGCCCTAGAAACTATAGCAAAGGGTCTTGGGGCAGAGTCCAAGGGAAAAGCTTCAAAAGAAGAACGGGGTTGGCACGAAGGAAGACCCAGAAGCCCAGGTGAGACTAGCAGGCTCGACTGCCTCCGCACCAGAGCTGGAAGGGGTAACCCGTGGAGCTGACCAAGCCACATCCCAAACTAAATACTGCCCCAACCCTGAAACCCTCAGATGCTTTAGGGCCAAAAGCAGGTAGGGGGGAAGAAAAATGAAAAAGGGGTGCAGGCAGAACCAGTGTAGAAAGAACCAATACTTCCAAATTCAGGACCCCTAACAACAAATCCAACCAAGACTGCTGCAACCTAGAAAACCTAATATGCAAAGTGGTCATTGCCTGAAGACCTTAAACCTACTGGGATGGGCAGAAGGTGGGCAACATGATGGAAAAAAACCCAACATGACTGGGTCAAAGGTGTCTTTGATTCAACAGCCAGCACGAGAGATGCAGGTGGAACAAATGTTGCCACATTTTACAGATGTGTAACCCTTAAACTTGCATAAAGCGAGAGTAGGTTCGGGGAAATATCCATGGGACCACTGAACCTGCTGGGGGTTTTCTGGGCCTAAATTGGAAGTAACCCCACTGGAAACACTATGCCAGTCCTATAGAACTATATATAGTCCCAGAATAAGAGACCAGAAGGCCAACACAGAGTGTCACATGAAGTCCAACAATGGCACACAGGTAAGACTAGGAACCATAGTGGGCCCTGCCAGCCAAAATCACTTAACTCCCTGAGGGCGAGGGCCTCCATAGTCGAGGACAACCTCTAAAGGGGTGATCCCCAAACACTCCGGGGAAAAGTCCTCAGCACATGTACAGCCAAGTGCTCTTAACTTCTGGCTTACTGCACCAAGGTGCACAGGAGCAGCCACAAAAGCAAAACAACCACTTAATTGAAAACAGGACACCAGAGTCAGAGCGACAGAATGACCAAGCACTTGCTACCATCAGAATAAAACTGAGGGTGGAGCAGCTCACTGACCCCAGACTGCCTCAATGGTGGGCTGAACCAATGGCTCATGGTTCCCAGTAGCCCAATAGAACTACACTACTGATGACAGCAGTATGGCACTGTCAGAGACAGTAGCCCGAGGGAGATACAAGGGGGTCCCCACAAAAAATCTCTTCAAATGCAGAAATAATCATGACAGTTCTATATACAGTATATATGTATCACATGTGTATATACGTGATCTTGCTGGGTTGGACAATGGCAGATTCTCCACTTCCATGCACTAAATTGCTCAAGAACCTAGCATGCAGACTGATTATTAGTGATCATGAGCATGTAGCAACAACCAAAGCCATGTGTTAGTGTGTTGTGCCAATTATTGGCTCTCTTTGGTTAATTTTTTGTCATCAAAATGCTTCTAAGTGTGAATGCCTCTGAATGATGGTTACTGCTTCTCCTGGAATAATTATAAGTTCATCCTAAAACTCATTCAGTGTTTCCTTATTGTACAAACTTTTTTTTTTATTTTTGAATATACTATACTTTTATATTATATACATATATATATATAATAAAATGCTTAATTGCCTTGAGGAATAATGAGCCTCTCCTAAATTGCCTTGGAATTTAGGGTGTTGTGTACTAAAGCAAAGATATTCATTCCTGGTACATTATTTTCCAAACTTTGTAGTTATGGCCAAGTAAAACCTTAAGCTTTTTGAGTAGTCAACTGATCATATGTTGCTGGTGCTATATGTTTGTTGACCTTTCTACATGTAATGTAGGATTTTTTTTTTTTTTTTTTTAGAATACCATGTATCTCTAGCTAAACATGTTTGCTGCAGACCCATTCAATGTGAGCATTGGACACCGATAACATACTTTTCTATAAATGCTGTTTATACCTATTTGCCGATACGTACTTGAATTCTTTGTTAAATGCACTACTATGTATGTAATTATCACCCTTGTTAACTAGGTTCTGCATAATCCAAATGTTTGGTGCACATTTTAACCCAAGATGTAAATGGCTGTAATTACTCCCAAGGAAATATATACTGCCAATAAATCCCTAACTCCTTTTTGAAGTAGCATATTCTACTGCAACTCTCAGAAATAGGATTATGTGATTGATATTATAATGCAAGTTGTGTTCCTTAAGACAGGATAGTTACATACGTCCTTGGTCCATCTCGTGCTAGTCGTTTCATTTGCAGTTTTAATTAATGTTATTGATGCAGTAATTTAATGCTTTAGTTTGGTTTTATGTATAATTCTTGACTCATTTGTCATACTCAGTGAATGTAGTGTGCAAAGTATAACTTATAATAACTATTATTTGTTGAAAAATACGATACTAATGATCAAAGTTTTTACGTGTATTTTTGTTTTGGAAAGATTGTGTGTATATAGTGTAACAAGAAAATGCAACCGTTAAATTTGATCTCCAGATAATAAAGAAGTTTTAAATATATAATATTTCCCGAAGACTTTCCTCAACTTATTTTTAAGATATTTTTTTAATTTCAAGGAAATGCCTTTCTTGTGTGATAACATCCTTCAGATGGAATTAAAATCTTTGTAGATTGTATCCAGAGGTCCCAAGAAAATTTGAATAAATATTTTTGGTCTTTGCTCAGGTCAATTTAATTTAAGCTGTAAATCGGATAGCTTAAAATAAAAGAATAAGACCTGTATTTGGTTAAGACACTAATTGGTAAAGATGATGTTAAAAAAAATAAAAAAAAAGTAAGTGACTACACGATGCCCAAGGAGAACAAAGACCAACTCACTGAATAGGTCGGACATGCTGGTTATTCTCCAAGGTTTGTGGCATGATGGTTACTCTGGATGTGATGCTTGCAAGACAACATATACATATGTTAGCTTTAACTTGTATTTGCCAAACCATGTGATGTACAGGTATTTTAATAAGAAAACCATAAGATTAATAATATCATCATCATTTACTATCTATCCACATATTCCAAAATGCCTTAATGTTTAGAAATGCTTCCTGTTCAGTATTTGTGTAATCTACATATGGGATAAACATTAATAATATTGCATTGTAACCAGTTATGTGAAATGGATTCTCCTCACATCTTTTGTACTTACATTTTTACCAAAGAATCTCTCAATGGTAGCATGAGTGTGTGTATATATTTATTACCTGGCGACTCTTTATGAAGAGAAGCCGACTCTTTGTTGACTTTTTGCAAATATTGCATAACTATGGTTGAGGTTATGTACAGTATGTCGCATTTTTTATGCAGTGTGAGACAAAGGCAAAAGCCTTAAATTAGTCCCTTTATGCAAAATTAGTTTTTTTAAGCCAGTTGGACATTGCAATTACTGATAATGTATATGTTGTTGAAAATGATTATTCAACATTATCAATTAGTTTTTTAAAGGGTGTATCTAGAAAGCAGTAGAATTTATTTTATATTTTTCAAAAGTGAGGCCACCATAACAAAGCTCATTAGAACAAAATCAATTGTTGTAGATACTGAAATACTGTATGGAGGAGAGGTTAAGGGTGAAAGATGCTGCCAGTGTTACTGTTGTACCCTTCAGTGTTCCCTCAGTGACTAGTTCTGAAGTGATGTGTGTACAAGGTTGTGTTCACTGTCTTATCACAAATTTATGCTAAACTGGTTGTTCATCCCTCAGTCACTGTGTTGTATTAAGGGTCTCTGGTACAGTTGTTATATTCCCTGGTCTTCACAATTATTAACTGTAAATTTAACATTGCTGATATTTTTAGTTGGTATTATGCAATAGTTCTCTTGTTTATAGAATACTATTTTTTTTCCTTTAATCTGGGATGCAAAAGTCAGTCAAGATGATGGAATATGATCGCATTAACAAGAAAGCAACATTTTATGACGATAGTGTGAAACTCTCAATGAGCTTTTGTAAATCTTGTCAATGGTATGTAAGATGTTATTTCTACACAAATATATAACAGTAATTGTATTATATATTTAATTTACCTTATTTATTTAGCAATATACATGGACATAAGAAGAGGCTATAGACCAGCCTTAATACACGACTGGAGGGGTTACCCGGCAGTGCCCAGGTCTCACTCCACCCTTCACTCCCACCCTCCTCATCTCTCCCTATTTTCCCTCTCATGCCATCTCCCTCAAGATAACCTCATTTCTTCCTGAACAACTCCCTCCTTCCCTTTCTTCAAACATACTCCCCCCCCCCCCCCCCCCCCCACTACTTCTCTTGAAATATATTTTACTTTTACCTCTTTTGGAATATCCCCTTCTCTTCCACTCTCAGAAATAAGTAAAGAAATCTAGGGACGGTGTCAGCTATTCAACATATAAAAATGTGAAACATGAAGTAACAAATACTGTAACATGAAACACAACCCTTATTTACCTTGAATGACAGGATTGCCTTGTTTGTCCAAAATGATGATGAGGATGTTGTATAAGGTATGACAGATGGCCACTGGTGAACCATCTACACATTCTCTCTTATCAAGGGCTTTTTCATTTTAAATGCCTTACCATGGGCATATTTGTATTTAAAGCGAAGATACTGTACGTGTATTTTTGTAATCGGCGAGCTCCGATCCCGCACAGATCGAGCAACGGAGTAACTCTCTCAGAACAATGCTTATTTCACGTAAATTCGTTAATAAACGCAAATGTTTTTATATGTGTTGAGAAAGATAGAAATATAAGCTTCATTTTAAATACTTTACCATAGATATATATAAAGTTCTAATGAAGATACATGTGTTTTAATAATCGCCGAGCTCCGACCCCGCACAGACTGATCGACTGAGCAACTCTCTCTCAGAACAATGCTTATTTCACGTAAATTCATTAATAAACACACATGTTTTATATGTCTCAAGAAAGATAGAAATATAAGCTTCATTTTAAATACTTTAACATAGACATATATAAAGCTCAAGTGAAGATACATACGTTTTTATAGTGGCATTCAGTAGCTTGTCGGTCATGGAATGCAGAAGCCTACGCACTTGCCAATATAGTGTGTAATTAACAAAGGTACGCTTATAAAGCCTAAAATATTATATGCCTTCAGAAAGACAGAGATATGCTCGTTATTGTGAATGCACCAAAGGAAATATATCTTGTTGAAAGACAAAGATATATCAATTCTAAAATAAGTTTCGACTCTCGCTCGGGCGAGAGATAGCGCGACTCTCGCCCCATCTATTGGAGATTCTGTTCACCTAATGACCCAAAGCTACTCAAAGCCTCCTAGCATTACTTAAATAATGAAGAAATATGGTATATTTATTCACTATAATGTTGGTGCTTAATGCAGAACACGAGAAAACATATATTTACTATAAAATAATATACTTCCATTATGAAATAAGTAAATATGTGGCCTCATAGGAAGTCAACGGTCCAGGTGTCAATGTTGTGGAGCGACTTATCCAAGATATATTGTTGTCTGGAAAGTGTTTGTTGGCATATCAACCTTCTGTACACAGTGATCCAGTCGTCGCACTTCACTCCTTAAATGATCGCAAATTTAGTTTATTATATTAACAAGTAGAATACGTATTTCTAATAATATCTAACATAACTAGCCAGAAAATATTAAAGACTTATTGAAAAATACATGTCTGGAAGTTAAATCGACTTCATAGAACAATAGTGTTGGTCTATACTAATCGTTATTCGTTAGTAGGCGTTCGCTACTTAAAACATTTACTGTACTGATGTAAAATCTCCCATATGTCTCTTCGCACATGGAACACCGAACCTTACACACTCTCTGATATATTGTTTAATTAATAGAGATTCACTAATAAAGCTTATAATTGTATATGTTATCAAAAAGGCATAGATAAAGTCGTTCTTACGTTTTAGTCACAGAGATTAGATATTAGTAAAGTTCATTTTATTCAGGAAAGTACATAAATAGTCGATTTACAAACATAATATTGGATTTATAGATAGAGCTAGTACATACAATACCTAAAGCCACTAGTACGCATAGCGTTTCGGGCATATTATTGAGAGAGGAAAGATATTTACGTGTATATTTAAACAATTTTTTTTTTTTTACCGACGCTCTCCCTATTGATGAGAACTACAACCTAATGAAGATAAATGTTAATTTTATGTAGATACTGTAATAAACGAAAGTTTTTAATGTCATCAGAGAAGCAGAAATATAGGCAAATTTTAAATCCCTTGTCATAAATATAACTGAAGTGAAAGCAAAGATATATGCATTTTGATAGTTACAAAGACAGCTCTTTAACACGGGTGGAACACGAACAAGGGGAACTTAGTACCCAAATGATCCACAGAGATATTAGAAAGAATTTTTTCAGTGTCAGAGTAGTTAACAAATGGAATGTATTAAGCAGTGATGTGGTGGAGGCTGACTCCATACACAATTTCAAATGTAGATGTGATAGAGCCCAATAGGCTCAGGAACCTGTACACCTGTTGATTGACGGTTGAGAGTCGGGACCAAAGAACCAAAGCTCAACCCCTGCAAGCACAAATTAGGTGAGTACAACTAGGTGAATACAGCTGAGGGGCGGGACCAAACAGCTGAAGCTCAATTCCCTACGCATAACTAGGCGAGTCCATAGGAATTACCGTTTGTCCTGGCGCCATCTATGTTTTGACAGCAGTACTTCTAATGTTCCCACGTTATGTGTTGATCGCTATACGGGTGTTATGGTCAGTTGCTCTTCTATATATGTTTATGGACAACGCAGGTGATTTGAGGCAATTTGCGGCCAGAATGAAATAGTATCCACGCGGTGAGTGATGGAGGAGGATATATACTGCTGTGTACTCGACCAGCGGGTGAGAGGTAAGTTATATCGAACAATTATGGGGAATAGATGGGTTATTTTAAGCGTAGAATGTCAGGTAACCGGTAACTACACAGATGGGGTAGTGTTTTTTTAAGTCTTTATTTACTAAAGTGGAACATTACATTCAGACTTTAGCTGAACAAGTCTACTGGTGGGGGAAGTAGACGGGTTTTATGAAAGTATTTTACCTAAATATTTGTATTTGGTTAACTAGTTCAGCCGTTACCAGGGAGGGTGTTCCTTTAATCTAATCTAAAAATTCTAGCCGGACAAAGTGATTAAATAAATTGAATAGAACGAAGTGGTTTGCCAGGGTGCTTAACATTTAGTTTAGTTCACTTACTATGCAGCCCATGCTTAAAGAATGCAAGTTTATCATATTGAATTTACCGTAGTTTTACTGCATTTAGTATACCGTTTTTACCCTATTTAATTATGTCGGGTAAAGGCCGGTCGTGGAAAGTTCCTAATATAGCAAGTTTTAAAGGAAAAGTTTGAGTTAACTTTAACGCTTAAGTTAGTGACCAATTAGCTTAGTCTATTGTGAGGAAAGTTACTAGAATCTAACATTGAAAGTGCCATTTCTCCACTCTTTTTGAGAAACGTGACTAGATACATGAATCGCATAGTTTTATTACTAAATGTTCATGGATTAGGTTGCATAGTCGAGGAAATGGCGATAAGGTTTGTGATTTTGTGTACCTTGACTTCAGCAGAGATTTTGAAAGTGGCGCAAAATTGATAGGGGCTCGGATCATTGGGAATGCTGACTGAAGTTGATTAGGTCATGGCTATACCAAAGAAAATTAGTATAACTGGGGTTAAGTGTTGTAAGTAGTGCCTAAAAGCTCTCCTTGGACCTCGGTTATTCGCAAGATTATGGTTTAGACTGCAATAGTTGCAGAATTGGCAAATAAAAAAATACCGATGCCCTATAGTTTTGAAATGGTTAAGACTACCAGATGCAGTTTAATGCTGACAAATGTAAGGTTTGGGGGCTAGGTAAAGATGAGATAGATGTAGATTGTTAAGAGTATTAAATTTTTTGCAGGTGGTAAATTCTCCCCGAGCTGGCACTGCTCTCCAGCCTGGGATGTTGATTGGTTAGTCTTCAACTGCCTCTCGACATGGTAGTGAGGTCCTGAGCTGACATGCAGTGAGGAACGTGGAAAGGTTCCTGAATTGGCACATGGTATGCCTCCCTTTCAAACCAGCAGCTGGCACAAATGTTGCAGCTAACGTCAGAATAGTGGATGAAGCCCACACTAAAATGTAAGTGGTACAGTAAATGGACACCCCCCCCCCTCCCTTTTGACACTGAACAGTTGGGAGGAAAGGGGGGGGGGGGAGAAAGTGTGGCTTTTAGTTCTATTGCTACAGAATCCTTTGCCATAAGCCAGTGGTACAGGTATGAACAATATAACATTGCTATGCAAATAACTTTTTAGTAATATTTACTGTTCACATGACAGGTTGTGGAAGGTCCTGGCAACAAAGAGCTGCAGGAAAATACTTGCAGATCTACAGTAAGTAGTGTTGTGTACATTGGAATTAGAGGGTAGAAGTTAATTGCTAAAAACCTATTAAATATTAGGGTATGGAAGTCTAGGCTTAGGCTAGTGGGTACCATATCTGCAAGTTTAGTCCTTTCAAGAATGTATTGAATAGAATGGTGTGTTAAAATTGTGAAAATTCTAATGTGGGCATTAGATCTTAAACAGCATAGTTGAGGGTGTTTTATTAATAATTTTAATGAAATATAAATCTTGTTTAGTTTAAAGGTTAATCTGAATAGATTTGCATAAAAGTAAAAAAATAGTAATAACTTAAACAATATAGCATTGGCTAAAGATAAATGTAAATTGCCATTGAAGTGCGGTTGTGGATAGTTTCTCGAATGACATTTACTGAAACTTGGCAAATTGATGCCATATATATTTATATTGCTAAATTAGATCTTTACTACTGCTACTAGAATATGTAGGAAAGGTAAATTCCTTAAAGAAATTTTTTCCATCTGAATTTGTAAAGTACTGAATGCTAATTTGAAAAGTAAAGCAAGATTGGCATTAAATCTGAAATTAATTTGTTGAAATATTTTTCAGGTGAAAGTGATTATGATGCATGGACTGGCTTGGAGTGAGGCTCCTTTACTCTGCAAAAGGAAATCTACAAAAGTGGGCAAGTTTGAATTTGATGTTTTAGCTATATCAATGACCTAATCTTAATTTTCTTGTCTAGTCTATTTATAGGTGTGTAACCATGTCCTACTGTTACAACCCACAGGGGATGATGCAGTTTGTACTGATCCTACCCCATTTCATAAAAGGGGACCAGGCAGTCCTGCAGATTTCCCTGGCTTGGCTTTTTCAGAGCTTTGCTCTACTACCCATCTAATAGATGGACTAGATTTGCATAGGTTTAGGGACCCTTAACAATGGTTACATTGTTAATTCTCACAGGGCTTGTTTGCTGAATGGGTGGATGCATCTAAATCTTTAGTGCCTGGCATGCATTTTACAGTGCTTTCAGTAAAGCATATGTACAATGTGTTGATGGCACTAAAGGGGTGGATGTAATGCACCCATTCAGGGAACAAGCTCTGCACTAAAATCAGAGGAAGGGATAGGCCTTGCTGAGCCTATCTTGAAAGATAGGCTGTTAGGATTTTTTGGCTTATTATTAGGCATTGGTGATAATAAAAGTAGTGTCCCTGTTTAATGTTTATTTTTCTTTTACAGGTGATTGTCTCTGGAGTTTTCTTTGCCTTCTGGA